CAAGTGGCGCAGTGGAGGAACTTGTCCACCTTGACAGCCAACCTTACAATTATGTCATCACTCCACAAAATTACCATCATTCTTCTTCTTTCATTTGATTGGAAAGATGACAAGGTCGCGGTCAGGCTCCCAAGACGTTGTTCCCTCGTGCATATCAATGGTGACGCGTCTTATTTGGTGACTGAATTACCACCCTCTTGGTTACCTTGTGAGGGGTGAGGGTGGGTGGGGTGGAGTGAGGGTGGGTGAGGTGGTGGGTGTGGTGGGTGGGGGTGGGGACGTGACGGGGTGGGTGGGGGGTAGGGGTGTGTCCATGATTTGTTGACTTAATGCGTGTTTGTGTTTATGTATCGTCATATTTTATTATTCTTGTTATTTCTCTCTCTGTTTTTTCTTCTGTTATTCATTGTTCGTGGTTTTGTTTTTGTTCTCTTCTGCTTTTTTCCTATCTCGTCTTTGTTTATTTTTGTTTCCTTATTGTTCTTCTTTCTTCTCCTACACTTCCTCCTCATTTTCCTCTTCCTTCATTTCCTCCCTTTTCTTCCTTCTTGGTTCTTTGTTTTTATTTCCTCTTTCTTCTACCCCTGCTCTTCTTTTTTTAAACATTACCTTCTCCTCTTCCTCCAATCTTCTTATTTTCCTCCTTCTTAGTTTTCATATTCTTCTCCCCTCCTCCTTCCTTCCTTTATTTTTCGTGTTCCTTTTCTTTTCCTTCTCTTCTTCCTCCTCCTCCTTCACCTCCTCCCACACACACACACACACACACACAACTATGACTCGCCAATCAGATCAATCCAAAGAAAATTAGATGTTATTTCTGATTGGAAAATGACCAATTCACGAGTTATTCCGGACAAAATTGGACCGAATCAGAGGCCATATTCGACCGGTAAGGAGCAAATCACGGATAATTTAAAGCCGGAAATAAACCAATTTAAAGTTATTTGAATAAACTCGGATTAATTACATCTAGAATCTGAAAAAAGACCCCAAATAATTCGGTCTTTATTTCTCCATTAAAATTATTCTACGAGTCGGTCTTTGCCGCGGTCCCACTCTCATTCACTCCACCTCTGTGATAGATAACAAAGATTTCTTCTATTTCGGTCTGAGAGTAACGTTAATTCGGTCTTTGTTGGCCTAAAGCAATCAAAATTCGGTCTTTCATAGTCTGAAAATAAACACCGTATCCTTCCCGTCCGGTCTTAATTAATCCTCCATTCGGTCTTTTCCAATCTTATAAATAAAATCTGATTCGGTCTCTCCCAGTTTGAAATAACCACAATTCGGTATTTTTTCCGGTCCCAAAATAAAACTCGATTCGGTCTTTCCCAGGTAAATAAATAAATAAACAAATAAATAAATAAATAAAAGCTCTGATTCTGTTTACTCTTTGCTAATATAAGCTCACGATTCAGTCCGCTTTAGTCCGACTCTATATTCACATTCACCGCCAGCATATACCACGACATACCCCGGCCACACACACACACACACACACACACACACACACACACACACTATCGCCACTATCATCATTACCACCACCTACACTTACCTCTCACTACCTACCACCACCACTACCACATTCACCACCACCACTACCGCCTCTACCGCCTCTACCACCACCACTACCATCACTATTGCCTCTACCACTACTACTACCACCACCACCAGGACAAGCGACCATAACAATAACAGTAACATAACATTCCAGAGTCTTGCGAGTTGAATTAAATTATCTGTGTATTAATCTCTCTCTCTCTCTCTCTCTCTCTCTCTCTCTCTCTCTCTCTCTCTCTCTCTCTCTCTCTGAAAAGGCAAGGATAAGATTTCTCTTCTGTCTATCTGTCTGTTTAGGATATCTCTCTCTTTATCACACACACACACACACACACACACACACACACACACACACACACACACACACACACACACACACACACACACACACACACCACACCCCATCCACACACACACCACCCCCACCACACACCACACCCATCCACACACCACACACACCACCCACACCCACACCACACACCCACCCACACACCACACCCATCCACACACCACACCCATCCACACACCCACACCACACCCATCCACACACCACACCCACACAATAAGTTAACATATACAGTCTCGCCTCCTGAATTACATTACCGGTTTATTAAGGAGATTGTGGCGGCCATAACTGTTTCCTCACATGGGAGAGAGATAACGAAGGACAGATAAATAAGGAGGAAGAGAGGGTGTGTGTGTGTGTGTGTGTGTGTGAGTGAGTGTGAGTGTGTGTGTGTGTGTGTGTGTGTGTGTGTGTGTGTGTGTGTGTGTGAATCAGACAGACACTCAACTCTCACATCAACTAAACAGCTCCTCACACCTCCCCCGCCTCTCCTTCCATCTCCTCCTCTCAACGCCACCCTTCCCTCCCATCCCTCCCTTCCATCCCTTTCCCCCCCTTCCCCCTTTCAATAACACAGAATCAGGTCGAGGGTCTTCGCCAGGCGCTCGTTCACCTCCCTGGGAACACGTATGTAAAGGTTTAACTCAGTCTCTGTCCTCCCCTCCGTGAAGACTACAACCCAGGTGCCTTCTGATGGTGCTAAGGAGGGGTGCGATTTGGGCGGATGGATGGATGGATGGATGGATGGATGGATGGATGGATGGGTGGATGGATGGATGGATGGATGGATGGATGGATGGGTGGTGGATGGTTGGATGGATGGGTGGATGGTTGGATGGGTGGATGGATGGGTGGATGGTTGGATGGGTGGTTGGATGGTGGATGGATGGTGGATGAATGGTTGGATGGATGGATGGATGGATGGATGGATGAAACAGTAAGGGTAGTGTCTTATAAGAATATTAATCCAATTCTTTCTAGATATTACGAAATAATGTTGGATGAAGAATGGTAATACACACACACACACACACACAGAGACCCCACACACGCGCACTCACACGCGCACACACAAAGCACACACACGCACACACACACACACACACGCGCACACACAAGCACACACACGCACACACCACACGCGCACACACACGCAAACACACACACACACACACACACACACACACACACACACACACATACACACACAAGACTTAGGTCGTGGGAAGGTAAGGTAGTCGTCCAGCCTCTCGAGAATAAGTGGATGAACTAAGAGACAGACAGACAGACAGACACCTTACCCTCTCGATAATAGACAGACAGATATAACTCTCTATATAGATAGACAGAGAGACAGACATCCTTCTCTATATAGACAGACAGATACATCCCTCTCTATAGACAGACAGACAGACACGTCCTTCTCGCTATAATCAGAAATATAGACATTGACAGCCAGACATAAAATCTCTCTTCTCTCTTCTTCTCTCTTCTTCTTCTTCTTCTCTCTCTCTCAATCTATCTATTTGTTGACTTTGTATATTTTTGTGTGAGAGAGAGAGAGAGAGAGAAAAGAGAGAGAGAGAGAGAGAGAGAGAGACTTACGAGACAAGGGAGGAAAACTACAGCCAGACAGCCAGCGAGATATAGATAGCGAGACTGGGTTACAAAGACACAGATAAGAGAGAATGAGAGAGAGAGAGAGAGAGAGAAGCAGAATAAAAGAGATGCAGTTAGAGAGAAACAAGATAAAAGAGAGGGAAGGAAGGAAGGAAGGAGAAAGTGAGACGAGGGAAGTTAAGAGAAAGTAATCGTAGAAACTGCACGTTAATAGTTCAGGGAAATGGCAGAGAGAGAGAGAGAGAGAGAGAGAGAGAGAGAGAGAGAGAGAGAGAGATCATCACCCCCACACTACAAGACGGGGTAAATAATATATAAGATTCAAAACAAAAACAAAAGAATAATGTTACGTTATAAATTTTCAGTAAATTCGTTCAGTAAATAATTCCATAAGTAGTTCATATGGGATAAAATACAACATGAATATATTATCTTATAGGAAAAAAAACACTTAATTTCCCATAAAAATTGAGACAAAACGAAAAAGAAAATACAGGTAAAAAAACACAGTAATCAAAATATATAATAATAATAATAATAATAATAATAATAATAATAATAATAATAATAATAATAATAATAATAATAATAATAATAATAATAATGTATGCTGAAAATATCTTAAAATGTATAAATTAGACTCAGAAGTAAGCGTATTTTGGGTAGTGACGGTGGGTGACGGTAATGACGGGTGGCGGTAGTGACGGGTGATGGCAATGATGGGTGACGGTAGTGACGGTTGTGGTGGTGGATGACGGTAGTGGTGGTGGATGACGGTAGTGGTGGTGGATGACGATAGTGATGGTGGATCACGGTAGTGGTGGTGGATGACGGTAGTGGGTGACAGGAACTAAGGTAGAGTGAGAGAGGAAAAAGATAGAGAGATTCACCTGTAGAGTTCTGGGCAGAGAGAGACTAGGACGGTGGAAGACAGGAATTAGAATGGACCGTAGAAGACAGGACAGGTACACCCACATATATTGAGACTATTGGACAGAAAACGCGTCGAGAGAGACGGTAACGGGGATTGAATGAGACAGGGAGAGACAGATTGCGAGGGGCGACTCACCTATAAATTTGGGACACTAGACAGACAGTGACGCAGCTTGGAAGGAATGGACAGGGACATTAAGAGAGCACAGGGGACACCATTGTACTTAAAAGAGATTCGGGAGGGACAGAATAGGACAGGTACTGTGGGACAGGTGACTGACTTACGTATCATGACCGTCCACTGGATACTGTCAAGTGAGTAGACAGGAACTAGACAGAACAAGACACTTACCAATGGACAGAACAAGACACTCAACACTGGACAGAACAAGACCCTTAACACTGGACAGAACAAGACAGAGGGGGGTCAAATCAGACAAGGTCGCTGTTGGGGGGAGGAGGAGGAGGGAAAAATGACAGAAGAGGGAAACAGAAAATGAGACAGGCGTGACAGTGAAGGGGGAGGGGGGGAACTTACCTATCAACTTGGACCACTGGGCAGGAGGTCGCCACTCCGGGTAATGCTTGGGGAAGTCTCGCGGGCTCCAGTGAGTCTCCATCGTGACCCTGTAGACGGTGAGCTCCTCCGGGGGGCAGGTGGTGGTGGTGGTGGTGGTAGTGGTAGTGGCAACAGAAGGGCTGAGGGCACTACCACAGCCTACCACACACAGTACCACCACACCCGCCACCAGACAGCGACACCACTCGTTACCCCTACCCATCATCGCTCCACTGTGCTGTATATATCAATCGTTTGTGTCTCAATATGTATCAACGACTCATCAACAGCTTAACAGATCAAATATTTCCCCCATACAAATATCTAATACAGTTTTCTGCTCGGACTGTGTCACTTAATGTTTGTCCTTATTAATATTTTACAGTGTTATATCATCATCCATTTAACGAGAATTTTATGTTCTTATTTAAGGTCTCCGAGTGCCATGGAAGAGGCGTGTGGGGTAAGAGGGCGTGTAGCGAGTGCATGTGTTTGTGTGTGTCGCGTGCTGGCAGTAATGACGAGGAGCTGGTGGAGTGAGAGAGAGAGAGAGGGGGAGGGACACCCTTGTAAGAGAGAGAGAGAGAGAGCGGCCCGGTACAACACTCGACGCTGTTCACACCGCCGCGGCCCACACTGACGACTCTCGGCTGCTGCTGCTGGCCCAGACACTCCACACACACACACACACACACTCACACACACTCCTCCCTCCCCACCACCCCTCCCTCCTCGCGACACCCGCCAAAATCGCCCGACACACACACACACACACACACACACACACACACTAATAATTTGTAATACGTAACAATTAAGACACAGGACCACAGATCACCAACATACACAAACCAATGAAATCAGGAATTTACACTCGCCAAATCACACAAAGACACACAGACAGACAGACAGACAGACAGACAAACAAACACATAATCACACGAGATCTTACAGTCCGGACAAAAACAAAACAAACACACGTGGGGTGGAGGGCAAGATAACAAGGGGTGAAGGCCAATTAAGTGGTAAAACATGACTTGAGGTAATTAAGATGTAGTTACTGAAGGGAGAAAAAGACAAGGGAACTGAGATTAAATCATTTGATTAAACACACACACACACACACACACACACATAAATTATAAAAACACACATTCTCAAACACAAACATAAACACACAAAATGTTTTAAAGGTTTATGAATGCAGGAAACGTTTTCTCCCCCCGGCCGAGATTAATGTACAGCCAGCTGACTCCCTCGGCAATTACGGCCACATAATGTCTCTTTTTACACGCTTATCGTGGGCACTATAGTTCTAGTGGGCCCTAATAATAATAGGCCCTAGTAATAGGGGACCGCAGTTTTATTGGGCCCCAGTCCCAGTGGGCCCCAGTTCTATTGGGCCCAAGTTCTGGTGGCCCCAAATCCAAGTGGACCCCAGTCCAAGTGGAGCTGACTCCTAATGGACCCCAGTCATAGTGGTCCCCAATTCTAGTAGGCCCAAGTGTTAATGGAATCCAGTCCTGGTGGGCCCCAGTCCTGGTGGGCCCCAGTCCTGGTGGGCTCCAGTCCTGGTGGGCCCCAGTCCTAGTGAACTCAAGTTCTAGAGGCCCAAGTTTTAGTGGACTTAATTCCTGGTGGACTCTTCCGAGTGGACCAAAGTCCCATTGGGTTCAAGTCCTAGTGTGCTCCAGTCCTATTGGGCCCAAGTCCTATTGGGCCAAAGTCCTATTGGGCCCCATTCCTAGTGGATCGAAGTCCTAGTGGGCACCATCCTAGTGGACCCTAGTCTAGTAGGACACAATGCAATGGGCCCAACTCTTAGTGGGCTCCAGCCCTAGTGGGCCAAAGTCCTAGTGGGCGCCAGTCATAGTGGGCCCCAGTCCTAGTGGGCTCAAGTCCCAGTGGACCTAAGTCCTGATGGGCCCCAGGACTAGTGGGCCCGTCCTAGTGGGATTCAGTCCTGGTAGGCCCCAGGGCTAGTGGGCCCGTCCTAGTGGGCCCCAGTCCTAGTGGGCCCCAGGGCTAGTAGGCCCGTCCTAGTGGGCCCCAGTCCTAGTGGGCCCCAGGGCTAGTGGGCCCGTCCTAGTGGGCCCCAGTCCTAGTGGGCCCCAGGGCTAGTGGGCCCCAGTCCTAGTGGGCCCCAGGGCTAGTGAGTGTCTGTGCTATGAGAGGTACTGGACAAATATCGGCCAGAGAGACGGACGGACGGACGGACGGACAAGAGCCTGGGTTGGACCAAGACGAGAATCATAAATAAAAAGTGTGTTTGTATTACTTTCCTTCAGAGAACACAAAAAATAACTCAAACAACCACAATAAATCACAGGAAATGTGTTAAAATTACAAGGAGAAGAAAAAGTAATAAAACTAACAAGAGGCGACATAGAGGCCGTGGGTAATGGATACGACACACTCCACCTGCTGACTTATGGCCGCCATCATCATTATTCTTAGTGTCGGAGAAACAAAAATATTTTCCTTTGTTTATCTTATTGGCTGAGGTTGAGTCAGCCAGCCCCATGTGTGCTTCTCCTGGCCTTACTGATGGATTCCTTGTGATTATATCCCTCAAGTTTTGCGCATGCGTGTTAGCTGTCACTCCTTCCTGACTTCATGCTTGGGTACGCGCGAATTCCAAAAATTTTCTTGAGCTGTATTCAATGGAACAGAATCCCGCCCGTAGACCCATAACGAGACGTGTGGCGGGACAGGAGATAGTACACCACTATCCCCTAGTCCACCCGCACCTCCCTACCATAAACTATGGTATTTTTTATTTAATTAAATAGTTCCTAACCCTTTCGCTGCACTTCCCGCACTTGCCATTTTATTCTGACTACCGCCAGACGATTTTAGTCGGCTTAGGGCAACCTCCCGTAGCCAGAGGGTTAAAGGACAACTCCTTATACATTAACCCCCAAAAATTAAAGGATTATTTAACTACTTTCTTAACGTTTAATTGTCATAGGTGACGTCATCAGAGGACAACTCCTATATTATTGAATTTTATTAGTAAATAATAGTGAATATTTTTTTAACATCTAACGGATGGTGTATGGTTACTGAAGCAAACCCTTAGATCACGCAAACAACACTGCTGACTCAAAAATGGCGTCATAAGTGCACCAAGACTCTCACCCTCAAATAATAGCGTCAGAAGAGCACTAAAACCATTGTTATTATTTCAGCAACTAAACAACGCTTATTCCAGTAATCAGTAGAGGAACAAGTAGCATTTATTGTAGGATTTGGCACTACTCACTGGACGCTCGTTACTTGTCTAAGAAACATTATTGATTTTTTTAGCGATTTCGTATTCGTTTAAAAAAGTAAGTGTAAATGCCACGTTCAATTTAAAATCAACAACAGCCGGAGAGGTCATTTTATCCCCACCATTACCAATAGCACAATGTCCAGTGCCAACCTCGGTCCGGACATTAAAGATGACGAAGTAATAATATCTCCAGCTTCATGACGAGGCTAGACACTTTGTTTTCTCTCAACCAATACTTTCTACTTTCCCTTTCCTGGCGTATCATGCTCTTCTGACTTGCCTTTACGCCTTTGTTTACTTTTCATTACCTCACACATTTATTATACTCGCTCCCTTCTCACTTGTTATGACTTTATTACCTTTCATCAGCCTTACACTTTTATACATTAATATATCAAATTCCTTCCCTTCACACTTACACCCTCTCTCCCTTCACACTTACATCCTCTCTCCCTTCACACTTACACCCTCTCCCTTTCCACCACACCTTACATCATCTCCCTTCCACACTACACCCTCTCCCTTCACACCCTACATCCTTCTCCCTCTTCACACTTACATCCTCTCTCCTTTCACACTACATCCTCTCTCCCTTCACACTCATCCTCTCCTTCACCCTTACACCTCCTCTCTCCTTTCACACTTACATCATCCTCTCTCCCCACACTCTACATCCCCCTTCTCTCTCTCTCCCTCACACTTACACCCCTCTCCTCTCTCTCACATCCCTCCCTTCACATACACCTCTCTCCTTCACACCTTAACCTCTCTCCCTTTCAACACACCCTCTCTCCCTTTCAACTTCATCCTCTCTCCCTTCACACTACACCCTCCTCCCTTCACACTTACATCCCTCTCCTCACACCTCTAACCCTCTCCCTCACACTTCCACCTCTCCCTCACCCACATCCTCCCTTCACACTTACATCCCCTCTCTCCCTCTCACCCACATCCTCTCTCCCTTCACACACCCTTACACTCCTCCCTTCACACCTTACATCCCTCCCTCACACACTACATCCCTCTCCCTTCACACCCACATCTCTCCCCTTTCACTTGCACATCCTCTCTCCTTCACCCTTACATCCCCCCCTTCACACTTACATCCCCTCTCCCTTCACACTTACATCCTCTCCCTTCCACTTACACCCTCTCCCCTTCACACCCATCCTCTCCTTCACACCCATCCTCTCTCCCTTCACACTTACACCCTCTCCTTCACACCTCTACTTATCTCCCTCTCACACCATATCCCTCCCCACACTTACATCCCTCCTTCACACTTACATCCTCCCTTCCACACCCCAATCCTCTCTCCTTTCACACCTTACATCCCTCCCTTCACACTTACATCCTCTCTCCTTCACACTTACATCCTCTCTCCTTCACACTCCTCTCACCTCCTCTCACACTTACATTCTCTCCTTCACACCACATCCTCTCCCTTCACACTTTCATCCTTCTCCTTTCACACTACATCCTCTCTCCCTTCACACTCATCCTCTCCCCTTCTCACCACATCCTCTCTCTTACATCCTCCCTTCACATCCTCCCCTCTCCTCCCACATCCTCTCTCCCTCACACTCAATCCCTCTCTCCTTCACACCACATCCTCTCTCCCCTTCACACTCTGTCTCTCCCTTCACACTAACCCTCTCTCCTTCACACCTACATCCTCCTCCTCTCACACACTCCATCCCTCTCTCTCACACCTACATCCCTCTCTCTCCTTCACACTTACATCCTCTCTCCCTTCACACCTACATCCTCTCTCTCACACTTACATCCCTCTCCCTTCACACCCTACATCCTCTTCTCACCACACCCTCTCCTCTCTCCCATCTTACATCCCCCTCTCCCTTCACACTACATCCCCTCTCCCTCTCACACCCCACATCCTCTCTCCCTTCACACTTCATCCCCTCTCCTTCACACTTACATCCTCCTTCCTTCCACACTTACCTCTCCCCATTTGCCTCTCTCCTTCACACCTTACATCCTCTCTCCTTCAACCTCACATCCTCTCCCCTTCACACCCCTTACATCCTCTCTCCCTTCACACCTACATCCTCTCCTCCCTTCCACATACCATCCTCTCTCCCTTCACACTTACATCCTCTCTCCTTCACACTCCTACATCCTCTCCTTCACCTTACATCCTCTCTCAACTTACATCCCCTCTCTCCCTTCACACTTACATCCCTCTCCCCACACTTTCATCCTCTCTCCCTTCACACTTAGCATCCTCTCCTTCACACATCCTTCTCTCCTTCACACTTACATCCTCTCCCCACTTAATCCTCCCCACACCCATCCCCCTTCACACATCCTCTCCTCTCTGCAT